ATGAAAAAAGACAAAAAATAAAAGAAGTGAAAGGGGAAAGAGTGGTAAGAAAGAGAAGTTAGTTTACACAACACGATATTCGCAACTTGTCACCCATCCAGTTTCTAACCCCACCCACAGGGCGTAATCAGTTGCGACCTTCGCCAGGTTTAGCTAAACAAGTGTGTCTATTCAGTGTCTATTATTATTATTATTATTATTGCCCCGCATTTTCTTGCTGTCAGCCAGTCGGATTTCGACCTTTGCAAAGTCTCAACTTTTGCTGTGTCTTTTAACTTACCGCTCGCTGGCTTAAATGTTTATTTACTCTCTACTATTGGGTCATCTTTATATAAGCCTGGTAATTGGGGGCTCCCCTATATTTTGCATCAGCCCAACTGTTCAAAATAAAATTCAGTTCCCGAAGCTTTACTTTACGCGCGTGTCTCGTTTTCGTGCTTTATCTTTTTCGTCCTTGAAGGGAAAATCCTGTACTGGAGATTTCAGGATAAATCCCTTTAATTTGACGAGAGGAATGTAGTCATAAGTACAATGCTGAATTCAGGCTGGGGTTATGCGACTTCCCTGTTGAATGTGGAAATTTCATTGAAATGCGTGACTACTGGTCAACTTCCGAGCGCCCCCTGGCCGATTATCATCAGAGAGGCTCTAGCACTCAAAAATACCCTCTTCGGCATCGATCCCGAGTTGACGCCTACGTGGACATGCAGTCTACCGTTAGTTTGCACTTGGACAAATCAAGCTGGCATGAGCAAAGCTCTTTCGGACCTTAATCAAGCCATCCAAACAACTTTGCAATTTTACATTGCCCTTTCCATGGTGTATGTTTCTCCAGGAGATAACCTCACACACGTCTCCTCCAGGGTTCCCTCCGCAAGTGTTTGCATGCTGTCCTTGGAAAGAAATCGAAAGCTGTTGGGGCCCTCATTCCATCTATTTAAAAGCCTTAGATTCCAAGGCCCCTATTGCTGCTCAGGGCTGCCGTTTGATATATTTCTCAGTTTGCCCAACCAAAGGGTCCGCCGGAGTCATTGTTTTATCTCAGACTTTCCATCCTTTAGACAACTCCTAATTCTTTCCAACTGTGGCTTTAAGAGCTGGTTTAGCGCTTCGGTTTCTAGCTCACCAGCCTTTTCCTTTTACCTTTGTGGCATCTGATCCTCACCCCCGTCGTTACTGGTGGACTGTTATCTCGGGCGCGCTATTGATTCTGTCCTCCTAGGTACTTTGGCCGAACACATCGTGCTTTTATTTACTACTTCAGACAATGCATTCCTTTCTTAGCCTTTACCTTGGGACATTTGGCCGTTTAAGGTATCTTCCTAATTCCACTTTTTTCGTCTGGGGTCTCTGCACGGTTCCATGAGTCTGGCTCCCTTCTCTGTGGTGTTGCGAATGCTCGTATCTAAATGGCGACTGTTTTCCGTTCCGCCAACTATGTACGTGGGCTTCAAAGGTTTAATTCTGATTATTTGGTTCACATCTCCAAGACGCTTAAATTAGGATTCGCAAACAGACACCACAATAATTAAACGCGACTGCCCTAGAGCCTTTTGAAAGGTCTATTAGCACCAGAAAGCGCAACCGAAGGCTGTGTTTTTTAGATTTTTGGCCTCTTTACAATCACGTAAGACGTTATTTTCGGCCACATCTAAAGGTGTTGTTAGATCTTTATATCTACAATCTTGGACAAAAAGTGTTAAGAATTTTGCTCTTTCCTACACACAGTTGACCTACCCTGCGAATTTGGCACCTTCATGACCCGTCCCCCCACTCCTCCCTGATCAATGTTGTTTAGTAGGCAGCAACAATGTTCGGGCCACACTTCAACATTGTTTTTTTGGGGGGGGAAGGGGGGAGTATCTTGAGTGTACCGGGCTTTAGGGGGAAGTATTCTAAAATTAAACATACAACGTGCATTTTTCTTAACATTTTTGTCCAAGATTGTAGAACAAAATAGCAAAGGTAAAAAGTGATGCGCAAAGACTCGTATGAGCGCCTTGGTTTACAGGGTAAGCAGACTAGCAACTCTCTTGCTCACGATTATATGCTGGTACAGTGGACTCTCTCATCGTGAAATTTTCTGTCCATTTTCAATTCCTTGGCCGTGCAAGTGTTTGGAACGATCGCTTTTGTTTTGGACCGAAATTCCGCCTCGCACTTGTCGGTCAAGCAATATCATAAACCTATTACATCGGAACAGTTACAGGCTAAAGTGTGTTTAAAGCGAGCCCCTGTTTTATACGAGAAATACAAGAAACTGCATGGTGTACCGCTCAGGATATCTTCTGTTACGTAACAGCATTTCGCACTTCCTCGTAGAATAAACACAGTTGATGTGTTACGACACCCTGATGGCTCTTAACTAGCTAACTGTTTCATCAATGCGTCGGCCCTTTTGTAGAATATCTTGACAACAATTTTCGTGAATGCATCATTCTTGGTGGCTCAAGCCGGCCTTTTAAAATTAGCGTTTGTCTTGTCATTTTAGTTGTGACATTTGACGATTTAGTCAAAGGTATATGGGGTTGGAAGGCCAATGGAGATCTTTCACTTCATCTAGTACCGTCTTTCGCCTCCGAGCCAAGGACTTGCATGTGCGCTGTAACTCATCTCTCGAGTCGTCAGGCATAGGGAGAGAGCGTCCTCTGGGAATAGACCTCTTGAGCTTTTATGCTTTGTTTTCCCAATAGTGGTCCCAGGGGAACTTGACCCTTTGTCTTTTCATAAATTATACATACATATGCAACGTGCACAAGACGAAGTTTGAAAGAAACAGTTCTCTGGAGTATTATCACATGACCTGTATTGGGAAAACAATTAAAACATAAAAGCTAAAGAGGACTACTGGTCAGAATTAAGGCCAGTGATGCGCGAGCGAGCACTGGGAATATTAAGCTATTACCAGCGAGAGATGTATTCCAAGCTTGTGTTTGGATTTCTCCCTCGGGAGTGACTTTGTGTGTATGCAAGCAGATTTGGCCAGTTTAGCGAAACGGCTGGAGGATTGGATTCGTGCGGTTTGGAAGCCCCTTGTGGGGAGGGGAATGGGGCTTATGTACACCCATTTTCGTTTGTGATTCGTTTGTTTTTCCTTCCCTTCCCCTACTTTTCTATCTCTTTGGTCTAGTCCTATCGTCTTCTCGTCAGCGGACTCGCATTCCCGTAACTCATTTCTCGGGTTCTCAGGTCTTTGTTACTCGAGCGTCCACTGGGAATATATTGCAATAACTCTTGTCAATAGCCTGTCAAAGTTTGGCTCTTTTGGCCTACTAATCTTTCAGTGAAGAAACATTTTGTAACATATCGTAGCAGCGACTCCCTCATCTTAGTTTTTTTCGATCCTAGTGAACGTCTATTAATTTGGTTATTAAGTGAAGATACACAATTGTTGGCACTCAAACCTTTTACTTTTTGTCTGTGAAACAGTCTATGGCAAAAAAATATAGAATATTTCAACAAGTATAGAATACTTCATGGAAGGTGCAGTAATTACTTACTCGTTGTTGTTGTATCAGCGAACGAGTTAGTACAGTGAGACAGTAAGATTTCTAATACAAAAACGAGTGACTAAATACCGTACTAAGCACGCTTTCCATGTGGTTTCTGTTTAATATATACATATTGAGACGTTCATCATTCTGTCAGCCTTTTAGTTCAAATATTTCCAAAGTGCTAAAATGATGAAAATTTGCTGCTTCACATCTTGAAATGACTCTTGAAAACCACCCACATCAAGTAATATTAATAGCGGTTTTCAATCTTTCAAGTTTTCAATCGCACAAATTGTTACCGTCGATAACTGGCCGAAGTGTGCGTTTTGGGAAATCTACGAATGACACTCAGCAAAATTAAGGATATTCGGTTGTATTCGAGCTGAATATTTCAGTATACTTCACGTGAGCTGTGCGCCTTGAATACCTCAGGATTCTAGGGAGTTATGATCACGTATTCTAGGCTCGAACATCTCCGAATATTTTCATTTTCACGTAGTGAATTATGACAAGGGTAAGGATGTGAGGTAATCAGCATTTACAAGTAGTCTTAGCTTTTTTCGAAAAAAAATGCGGAAAATGAATGAATTTGAGCAAAATGGCCCGTTTGAATTAGCTTAACCGGAAGAGAAAATAGCTCTTTAAATCTCACCTCAAGTTTACTTTTTTCCCTCTTTCCATTGTTATTTTGCACGCTCTCTAGATTTCTCTTCAGTGGCAAGAAAATAAAAAAACCTTTTTCCATTCCAATTTGCGGACTATTGTTCACTTTTCTACGAGAAAAACTCTCTTTTTTGGACTTAACAAATTTTCTCGTTGAATGACTGCGAACTGGCGAAGGAAATCGCATCTCAAGGACGGAGCAAGTACCTTTAATAGGCTAAAACGTGGCGCAAAGTAACATATTTTCGAAATTGGTCTTTTCAGAGAGATCTTGACTATTAAAACACCACACGTGTACATGCCGGTAATATACGAATAACACACGACTACATACGGGTCATATTCCGATACATGCGAGTTACATATACGACAAATATACGGATAAATGCGCGCGGATACATAAGGAAACTTATTTTTTTCCAAGCTTGCGAGCGGGCAGAATCCTCCAAATCTTGCAATCTGATTGGTTCCGAGAGCGGGCAGTATTTTACGATCTTGCCCGCTAACCCGGGCGGAATCGTTGGCAGCTTCATTCACAAGTTTGTTGGTTATTTGTGAACGAGCAAAAACCGTCATTTTCAGACCATTTTTCTCTTAAAACTTGGGCTATTATTAGCATCAGCTAGGGAAAAGTGAATTTTATTTTTCAGACAAAAAATCCGAAGGGAGAATGAAACAAATCAGCCAGGAAAACCGCTAGAGTAAAGCAAAATAGGTGGCTCGTGATGTCGCTTCACTAGCCTTATAACCGCGTTGTAAGTACTGCAATCTTGCTTTTATGCACCGTTTATTGGACATTTTTGCTCTTTTTGTAGTTTTGTTTTCCATTTTGCTGTATGAATCTAGATTCTGCCGTTTTTCATTGAATTTTGCCCCGCTAGTTTTCTACTTATCAGAAAAGGTTGTTTTCAATAATTGCATTTAACTTTCAATCTTGAATAAACAACCAACACGAATCATTTTTCCAGCAGTCGGTTATCGCCGTTTTCATTTCCATGTTTATAACTTGTTACTCACATCGCCTTCTTTTTTTCGAATTCAATTCAAAACCTTAAAATTGGTATTTGTAATTAGCTATTTTTAGCTAGTTTTCATGCCACTCGATTGAACTGATCTTAAAGCACTTTTTGAATTATTCAGCCCCGCGAAGAAAATCCTTGCTATATTTTTTTTTCCTAGCGCTTTTAATATCAAGCTCGTCAATTCTTTTATCCTTGTTAGCTCTTGTTTGATACTCAGATTATGAATTGTCTACCAAGACACAAAAACCTTTCTTTATTCTAAAAGAGAGTAGTAAGTGCCATAATATAAATTACCGACCTAAAAATCATGTTGCAATGTTTTGTTTTGGTTTGTAATCGATCGCACCCTTCATCAACATGGACGCGTCCTCCTTCAACACACATAGCTAGGTTGGAGAGTGAAGAAAAATTTTCCTGAAACTTTTAAATCTCAGTTGGAAAACAATGAAAATGTTATTCACCGGCCTAGGTCGGTCCGTATTGGGAGAAACTGTGCCATCGGTCTGTGTACCGCCTCGGGCGGTAGTCAAGACCTCGGACACATACAGTTTCTCCCAATACGGACCTCCCAGCCGGTGAATAACATATATATATATATATGGGTAGTACTTACCTTTCCAGTAGGGAGATGTATCAGTCCTCAATCGCTATCGATTACGAAATTAAAAGCTGTATACTGTTGTGAGTTTATAGCAGCGGTGCATCGCTCGGATCAGGTGATAAAAGTACCTTGAAGAGATGAAGAAATAGCCTACGTTCGATATATTAAAATTCTAACATGACTCCGAGGCTTTAGGGTAAAAATTGCAAATTGTGAGCACAAAGAAAACGAAACCAAATATATAGAATATCAAAAATGACCAGAAAGCCTAGGAGTCACGTTAGAATTTTAATAAATCGAATGTTGGCTACTGTAAATTGGCAAGCGTCAAGGCTCGAAAGCCATGTAAACACCCCCTCCCAACAGTGAGACAGTAAGATTTCTAATACAAAAACGAGTGACTAAATACCGTACTAAGCACGCTTTCCATGTGGTTTCTGTTTAATATATACATATTGAGACGTTCATCATTCTGTCAGCCTTTTAGTTCAAATATTTCCAAAGTGCTAAAATGATGAAAATTTGCTGCTTCACATCTTGAAATGACTCTTGAAAACCACCCACATCAAGTAATATTAATAGCGGTTTTCAATCTTTCAAGTTTTCAATCGCACAAATTGTTACCGTCGATAACTGGCCGAAGTGTGCGTTTTGGGAAATCTACGAATGACACTCAGCAAAATTAAGGATATTCGGTTGTATTCGAGCTGAATATTTCAGTATACTTCACGTGAGCTGTGCGCCTTGAATACCTCAGGATTCTAGGGAGTTATGATCACGTATTCTAGGCTCGAACATCTCCGAATATTTTCATTTTCACGTAATGAATTATGACAAGGGTAAGGATGTGAGGTAATCAGCATTTACAAGTAGTCTTAGCTTTTCTCGAAAAAAAATGCGGAAAATGAATGAATTTGAGCAAAATGGCCCGTTTGAATTAGCTTAACCGGAAGAGAAAATAGCTCTTTAAATCTCACCTCAAGTTTACTTTTTTCCCTCTTTCCATTGTTATTTTGCACGCTCTCTAGATTTCTCTTCAGTGGCAAGAAAATAAAAATACCTTTTCCATTCCAATTTGCGGACTATTGTTCACTTTTCTACGAGAAAAACTCTCTTTTTTGGACTTAACAAATTTTCTCGTTGAATGACTGCGAACTGGCGAAGGAAATCGCATCTCAAGGACGGAGCAAGTACCTTTAATAGGCTAAAACGTGGCGCTAAGTAACATATTTTCGAAATTGGTCTTTTCAGAGAGATCTTGACTATTAAAACACCACACGTGTACATGCCGGTAATATACGAACAACACACGGCTACATACGGGTCATATTCCGATACATGCGAGTTACATATACGACAAATATACGGATAAATGCGCGCGGATACATAAGGAAACTTATTTTTTTCCAAGCTTGCGAGCGGGCAGAATCCTCCAAATCTTGCAATCTGATTGGTTCCGAGAGCGGGCAGTATTTTACGATCTTGCCCGCTAACCCGGGCGGAATCGTTGGCAGCTTCATTCACAAGTTTGTTGGTTATTTGTGAACGAGCAAAAACCGTCATTTTCAGACCATTTTTCTCTTAAAACTTGCGCTATTATTAGCATCAGCTAGGGAAAAGTGAATTTTATTTTTCGGACCTCCCAGCCGGTGAATAACATATATTTATTATTCATTCAAAATATTCCACCGATTCTGATTGGCTAAAAGCACACGTTTAATTCACCATAACCAGTTACTGATGACCAAATTTGGAAGAATTGTGACTTTAACGAGGAAATGACGTCAAAAATGCGGCGTTCGTGCAGGTTAAGGCACCGTTAACCGAGAAGACCTGGGGACGAAGTTGAGTTGTTTTGGTTGTGAACTTGAAAAAATGGCGGACATTTCACTCGTTTCAAGAGTAAGAACTAGGAGAAAAAATACCTAAAAACATGGCAAGAACAGCAAGAAGACAACTCGAAGGGCGACATCTGCTATTTGGAGAATATTTGCGGAGCTGGACAAACCTAAAACTACACTTTCGAAGATGAACTGAACATCGACGGATCGATGGAGGTAAGCATGTTTTTAAACTAGGAATTATTTTGAATGAATAATAAAACAGTTATTGAATTCGGCTTTCGTATCCTATGAAGAATTATGGAGATCTCGGAGGGTGTTATCCGCCTCGGCCTACGGCCTCGACGGATAACACCCTCCTCGATCTCCATAATTCTTCATAAGATACTCAGCCTCATTCATTGCTAAATATATATATATATATGGGTAGTACTTACCTTTCCAGTAGGGAGATGTATCAGTCCTCAATCGCTATCGATTACGAAATTAAAAGCTGTATACTGTTGTGAGTTTATAGCAGCGGTGCATCGCCCGGATCAGGTGATAAAAGTACCTTGAAGAGATGAAGAAATGGCCTACGTTCGATATATTAAAATTCTAACATGACTCCGAGGCTTTAGGGTAAAAATTGCAAATTGTGAGCACAAAGAAAACCAAACCAAATAT